GAAAATCAATTTTGCATTTAAAATAAGTTTTTAGATGTGTGCAGACCTTCTCTTTTGCGCGTGCAACGTTTCACTAGCTTGCTCCCTTGATGCCCTCAGTGCTCTCTAAATGCTAACGGCTCGCTTGCTCAACACAACCCAGCGTTACAATATGCCATAATTCCAGCCAATCAGAGACGAGGCTGCTAAATTCTGATTGGCTGCCTTGACAACCATTCACAAAATTCCTTGCATTACCTCGACAGCAGAAGAGAAAAAATACAGTGCATGCATAATTATTATGCAAGTTGATATTTTGATCATATTTTTTCCAAGCACATTTTACCAATTCCAAACGACATCAATATGAATAAGTACTATTAATCTTGTATTTAATCATTTATAATTTATATATAATTATTCATGAAGGCTGGAAGTGAAAAATGTCTTATATTCAGGTGTGCATAATTATTAAGCAGATTTTCTTTTACAGATAAAATGAGCCAAAAAAGAGATTTAACTCAGACTGAAAGTCAAAAATTATTAAATGCCCATCAGAAATATTCAAAACTAATACAATACTAGAAATTGCAAAGTTAATGCATAACCATTGGACAGCAAAATGCTCAGTGGGTCAGCAGGGTCAGTCAAAAACATGTGGAGAAGAAAAGATGCATGTTAACTGCAAAAGAATTAGGAATTAAGGTGAAGAATTAGGTGTGAAATCACCAGGAACCATTTAGTCTCCAGCGCCACCATTTTCCAGAACTGCAACCTACCTGGAGTCTCCAGAAGTACAAGGTGTCAGGTTCTCAGAGACTTAGATTAAGTATAGAATACTAAAAAAATGACCCCTACTTAATAAGAATCACATACTGATGTGTAGTAAAATACTTGAAGACTTGAAATAAGTTGAGAGTGACTGTTGAAGGACCAGCACCACATTCTCTTGTACCACTGTTTGAAGAATTTATCTTCCAGAATCTGGCAGTAAGTTTTGTGAGTTAATTTTTAGTCCATCTCGAGATTTTATCTGTAGAAGATAACCTGATCAATAATTATGCACACCTGAATATAAGGCATTTTTCACTTCCAGCCTTCATGAACAATAATATATAGGTTATAAGTGATTAAATACAAGATTAACACTAGTTATTACGATTGATGTTGTTTGGAATTGGAAAAAATGTGCTTGGAAAAAATATAATCAGAATATCAACTTGCATAATAATTATGCATGCACTATATTTTCCCTCTTCCGCTGTCACCAGCAATGCATATTGGATGCATATTCCAATGCCATTGGAATTTAGAGAGCAATAAGGACATCAAGGGAGCAAGCTAGTGAAACGTTGCACGCGCAAAAGAAAAGGTCTGCACACATCTAAAAACTTATTTTAAATGCAAAATTGATTTTAGTGCTCTCTAAATACTTTTTTCTTTACAAAACGAACATTTTCTCCACAAAACTCAGATTGCACGCGTGCAAAATGCACTTTTGTGCGCTCAAAATATGATCTTTCGCGCGCAGAATTGTGGCAGAGATCTAATCCTATACCCTGTGTCCTTGCTCTTAGAAGCTGCATAAAGCCGACCATTCAGATTAAAACTGACACTTTATGTCAGCACTTGCCATTTTTGTGTGCAGTATGCATAAGATGACCAGTAATCAGAGTGTGAGCAGTCCACACACATGCAAATGAGCATTGTATTTTTAAGACAGTGTCAAGTTCAAAATAGATAAACTTTTAAAAATGCACCTTGAGATGCATGCACTCATGTTTTTGAATACAAAAATGCATCCTATGTGAACAGCAACTAAAGGCAAGGCCACATTAGTGAAATTGGAGTTAAATTTCACGAGTGAAAAAGGTCCATTGTCTCTTTTCAATAATGTAGAGATGTAAGAAGCACCACTCACACAGAAGTCCCTTCAAAACCAAGCAGGTTTTTGTTGCTCAATGTGGCAAATTCATGTGACCAACATGAAAATGAGTAAAACTTGTGTATGGAAGTTTTTTCCCCTCACGTGAAACTCCCAATTGTGCAGATTCCTATTAGAATAACTGGATTTCGCACACAAAATTTTGCAGAGCAATGGCAAATGTGACCGCACGTTAAGAAACATGTGATCATGTGTTATTCAAGGCATTCAGGACACCCAGTATAGTAAAAAAAAAAAGACACATTCCTAGATTTCATTGTGTGGCCACTGTTTCTTCACAGACTAAAAGTCATGAGTACAGGGAAGCCAGAAGAGAGGAGGAGAACGCTGACCTGCTTAAGAAGAAAGAGGAGCAGAGGAGAAAGGTAAAGAACAAAGGAAGCAAAACAGATGTTCTGAACTTACGAACATCACCTCCACTTTTGGTTCGCAGGAACACCACAGCAAAACGTCTGGGCTTTGCCAAGAAAAAGAACTAACTCTGCCTAGCATATGCTATTGATTAGCATGTTCTAGGTTATAGGAGGTAGTGATGGATGGAGTAGTGTAGGTGTTTTCCAGCTGGCTGTATAGTGGTATTTCTGTGGCTTTGAATGCCTCTACGTCGGTCAAACACGGACTTAATTCACTGATATGCATCGAGGACAAAAGGTCAGCCTGGCCTATCATGTTGAAATTGTTGTTTATTCATGCAAATATGCAATTAAATTGTTATAGCCACAGAGCTTGAGTCCCTTTACATAAGTAGAGGAGACATTTCTGTTGGAGATTAAATTTTCATTAACTTACTATTTCCAGGCAGGAATTTTGGAGGAAAAACAAAAACAACAGGAGGAGGACAGGAAGAGATGGACTGAAGCTGACCATCGGCGGTATGGGCACCTAATCATGACAGACCGCTAAAAAAAGCCATGACTGTCAGAATTAATAAAGGAGTCTGAGACCACTAGTAAAAATGCTTATATTATGCATTTTTCTCTTTTTTTTTTCTAATGATGACGAAAAAAAAAACATCATTAACCTGTCATACAGAATATGATTTTTTTTTCCCTCTGTGAAACACCAAAGGAGATATTTAGCAGAATGTCTAAGCTGCACAATGGAAGTGGATGGGAATCAGCATCTGTCTGGCCCTCAGCTAGAAAAGAGCACCTTGGACATTCTATAAATAACTACTTTTGTGTCCCATGGAAGAAAGAAAGTCATACGGGTTTCATGGCACATTTTGAACTTGTATAGACTCTTGTGAAAAAGAAGTGCACTTGAATGAAAAAGTACTTATTAGAGAAATAGCATACTTTAATAGAATACTTGTGTAATTTAAGAATGTAATGTTTTAGACACTTAATTGCATGTTAATAATGTATTATAGTTTAAATATATGCAATTAGCTGAATGTTAAAGTGCTTTCTGACCACTTAAGTAGGACTTACATATTTATATATCATTTCATAATTACTTCTTTTGTTTTTGAAATATGTGTGCTGCTGAATGTACTGACAAACATTTAACTAAATATACTTATGTGTAATTTCTGTTGAAGTTGCATGTAGTCATATTTGTAACTGTATATTTGTAACAATTTACATTTAAAATATATTAACTTTAAATGTAGCACATTGAATAACACTATAGTTAAAATTATAATTATTTCACATGTTTAGTATGTTCGTCAACACATCAAAATAAGTGTACTTCTTTAAAACATGACAAAGGATTATTAAAACATAATGAGGTCAAATGTACTTTAAAGAAAAATGTTTAATTTGAAAAATTACAAAGTGTGTTAGGAAACATGAAAGTCATGAAAGTGCACTTTCTTTTAGTACACTTAAGTGGGCTTTTATTACATTAATATTATATTACCTGTTAGTATTTTTTAAATATACTTGAAGAGTTAATTTGCAAAAACCGATAACTCCATTTTTATTTATTTTTTTAGAAATCACGTTTTTTATTGCGTATTCCAAGTAATATCAATCAAACTGCAGTTGGGTTGTTTTGATTAAGTAATAATAACTTAAACAAATACAGGTAATATAAAAAAATGTAAATTAAATATACAAAATTAAAGTTAATTGAAAGTATGTTTTTTTTACATATTAAAAGTTTGTTTTATAGCAAAAGCAGATA